CTATCTCAGGTGCGGCCCTGATTGAGGGGGTGGGTGTCTAGTCAAGCTCGAGATCCTCACAGCAGCAGCGGTGACAGCTGTGGCTCGGTTGCCCCGCGGCCTTGGGTTTAGGGTTTAGGGTTTAGGGTTTAGGGTTTAGGGTTTAGGGTTTAGGGTTTAGGGTTTAGGGTTTAGGGTTTAGGGTTTAGGGTTTAGGGTTTAGGGTTTAGGGTTTAGGGTTTAGGGTTTGGGGTTTGGGGTCTGGGGTTTAGGGCGTGGGGTTTAGGGTTTAGGCCAAGAAGCCCCATAAGAAGCCCTCAAAGGGTTTAGGGTTTAGGGTGCAAAGTGGAAGACACTGGTCAGATTGCTCGGGTCTTGTTTGGTCTGTCTATATGCGTGACGAAAGAAGTAGCGAAAGGCGTGCAACCATTGCAGAAAGGTCAGTTTAAAAGGAATGATTACGCAGCAATGCCCACCCAGCCACCTACCCAGCTTCCACACACACCCCTTCCAAGTTAGAAATGTCCCAGTCCGAGTGGGCCAGCGAATATGAGAAGGAGTGCACGGCAGCCTGCCCACATGTGCCGAAGCCCTGCGCCCAAGAAGTAGTTCTGTCCTGTATGTCTCGCTGACAGCAGCAGCCAAGCTGCAACGACCCCTAAGCAGCGTGTCCTACATGAAGGTCACGTGCTTCTAACTTCTGAAGACACAATTGCCTCAGAAAAACCCACAACTGGCCTAAAGTTCTTGAGCAACCGACAGCGACCGCGCGCTTAGCGGGACCTCCGGAATGATGTTCTCCGGTTTCTGCGAGTTTGTCCCTCAGCAGCGGGCACATTGGGGTACTCTCGGCTCGCAAGAACAACTCTTCGTACTTCTGATCCCCAGTGCTTCCACTGGTCCGAGTGGGGCAAAAGCGTGCCCGGGAGCTAGAGTTCAGGGTTCAAGGGTTCCAGGTTTGAGGGCTGTTGGGCAACAGCGTCTAGCCGCACCATTCTTAGAAGATCTTTTAGCCTCTTTCCTCTCAAAGGTTTCATCCATTTCTCCTTTCTACGAGTCTGCCTGCCTACACTCTAAAGCGCTTGTACAGCCCCGCCCCCCCCCCCTCGCCCCCAAACCCTATAAACTTTGTAGAAGGTGGTTCCTACAGTTCCCTAAACCCTAAACCCTAAACCCTAAACCCTAAACCAGTTCTTTAGCGGCTTTAACGTGTCAAAGACAAGCCAAGGCCCCTGCGGCTCGGACGCCGTTCTGCATAGTACTTCTCCTGCTGCTGCTTGACCTCCATGAAGAGGGCTTTAGCAAGAACTTCCTTAGAATACTTTGGGGGCTTTAGGATATGAAGCAGGAACTCCGAGGATACTTTGGGGGCTTTAGGCTACGAAGGATTTTGGCTCCAGCTTCGGGACTCAGTCCCTGGCGTTTCTAGAAATAGAAACGTTTAAGCAGGGCTCCTCATGCTGATAGCAAAGGGGGTACCTCCTTTTGGGAACGTCTTAAGCACATCAGTTGCGAGGCCAAGTATAGGCTCAGAGAGCCTGAGCAAAGCCTCCATCCTAACGAACTCAAAATGCACGTCAGCCTTTGTGTAAAGTCATAGAGCGGACGGGGTCATGCTAGAATCACAACACTTTGGAAACGTGTTCCTCTGCATCTTGACAGGGTCCGCAGGGCTGAACTCATTGCATGAAGGGATGTTGTGCTAGACTCAGTTTTCAAAAAAAGCGTGCAAGTTGCAAGCCTGCTTCCGCATTTGTCGGAAGTCGTCCTCATCTTCGTCATGATTCGCCTCAGCCTGCGAACAGCTCACTGGTCCAGAGCCAGGCCAAGTGCAAACTACTTAAGCCAAATTTCCAGCATTTGCGCAGGTGCCAGCAGAGTCTTCTGGGGGCAGGCACCCCATGGGCACGGCAGCGAAAGTAGCCATCAACTCCTGCCCATCAGACCTAAATGCGATGCAGGAGAAAGACGGCCCGCGGACCATCCAGCGCCTCGCTAGTGGGGCAGCCGAAGCCCAGAAAACCCAGAACTAGAGCAGCCAAGGATCACCCAAAGAAACATCTGTACCAAGAGTTACCAGGACATGTTAGGTGCGGGTGTATTGATACTACCACAAAAGGAGGTCGAGTTATATATGTCTATACACACATAGAGGCACACCTGGTCTGTCTAGGTACTGCAAACAAGAATCACATTTTAACCTGAATGTTCCGGGACCTCACAGATCGTGGCAACCTTGGGAGAGTTCATCTCAAGCCCCCCCCTCTCCGGCACCTTGAGGGAAACAGAGTTCGTTCCGGCCTGCACAAGTGGAGGTGAGCGCGAAGCAATTTTTTGGGTTTAGGGCGGAGGGTCGAGACTTTGGGGCTTGCAAGCACGGCGTGCAGCGTGCACATATGAGTAGGTATAGGTAGTGCCAAGAATCCTTACTCTGAAAGGACAAACAGAAAGGGTTTCGGGTAAACCCTCACATACACCCGAACCCGGAGCCCCGGGTGTGCCATTGAAGCGTATCTTCCTACCTTCTCAGACTTGGCTCTCCTATCCCTAACCCTAAACCCTAAACCCTAAACCGTAAACCCTAAACCCTAAACCCTAAACCCTAAACCTCAACCCGGCCGGGTTTTAGGGTAGGGTGCGATGTTCATCACTTGCCGCGTGCATCTGGGATCTTGCGATATTGACATGATGCTCTTATCCTGCCACTCATATGGGGGTTTACGAAAATAGGGGACCCCTAATAGAGACCCCCAAAGTAGTAGGATCCCCTTATAAAGAGGGCCCCAATAAGGTACCCCCAAATTCGGAAACTAAACCCTAAACCCTAAACCCTAAACCCTAAACCCTAAACCCTAAACCGTAGACCCCATATGTTCCGACCCTGATGCCGAAACACGAAGTCCTCTACACTCTCGCCTCGGCAGAGGCTCCCAGCACCAGTCGTCCCCCAGCCAGGAGCCGCGATCTCAGCCAGGGTTTGGGGTTCAGGGTTTAAGTTCAATGGGGTCTACACCCAACAGACAAGGACTCAACCCTAAACCCTAAACCCCACAGACCCGAAACATTAAACCGAAAAAGAGCGCCCAAACACTATACCCTAGCCCCTAGGCCGCAAGCAAATTGAACAAAGGCTATTCTCTGATAAATATTAGTATCTCGGTATATCAACACCTTAGTGCAGCATAGTCTTGTCTTATTCTGTCACTATGCTATCAACTTACAATATTATGTCTTTCAGGCTATTACATTATCTTGCTTTATTCGTATATCAGTATCCGATGAGCCGCAGCACGCTCAATAAGCTCCGGGCTCCCGGTTCCGCGCTGAGTTTGGTGCATTCGTCCTTCGGCCAAAGCTGCCCCTCCCCCCCCTCCCCCCTCCCTCCCGCGCCCCAGAGTACTGGCTCTTAGTGGGGTGTCGGGTTTGTGTGGTTTTAGGGCTTCGGGTTAAGTGGGTGTAGGGTTTCGGGATTCGGGAGCAGTGGGTTTCGGGTTTAGGGTTTAGGGTTCATAGTGGGTTTGGGGGAACTACCTCCCGAACGGGCCTACCAAGAACCTATAGACTACGATGCCCTTACAGAGTGAGAGGCGTGGTCCCAGTATGCGGGGATCCTGGCAGTAGAAGTCCCCAGCTGAGTACCTGTACTTCTGCACGAGAATTGGGCACAAGAGTATATCTCCAAAGTGCACAGCACGGAGATTTCTATGAGTCCTCAACATTGAGGATTGAGGACAGCCACATGAACAAGTCCCACCTCCACTGCAACCCTAAACCCTAAACCCTAACCCCTGAACCCCAATCCGATGCAGTGGTCCTCGGTGTGGCGATCATGTGGCACCTTGGTGGGGTAGCTGAGGGAAACCACCTGACGTGGGCCTTCATCATACCCATCAAAACCAAAACAACCTTCACGCTTTGGAGAACTTGCCTTGCCTTAACTTCACAAAGGAAGAAGGTTTAGGTTTTAGGGTTAAGTTAAGGTTCCAGACGACCCTGAAACCCCTAAACGCTAAAGCGCTGCCCCGCTCGGTGAGAACCGCAGAATCCTTAAACCCTAAACCCTAAACCCTGAACCCCATGCTGCCCCAGCTGCTCTCAGGCCAGCGGCGGCGGAGAACTGCTTTGGAACCCTGTCTAAGTTCACGTGTTTACAGTATGCAAGTCTTCATTCCTCCTCAAACCCTAAACCCTAAACCCTCAACCCTCAACCCTAAACCCGACAGAGGGGGAACGGTCTACCCTTAAAGCCTCAAAGCACCGGCACTGCCGTTTACCAGGCATAGATTTTAGGGTTTCGCAAGCCAGGGTTTAGGGCTTACGGCTCCTGGGGGTGTGAGAAACTTAGGTTCCAGTGTTTTGCATGTGGCACTGCTTCGTCCTAGCACTCTTGAACTCTTCCATGTTGCACACACGCCCCCCGCCTGCGGAGCAAAAGTTCGCGCGACGGGTATTTACTCTTGCAACAAAACATGTCGTCTGCCGAGACATCCCTACATTCACTTCGCACATTGCAATGTTCCAAGGTACAAGCATACATAACGTAAATATAAATATAAATAGTAATATAAATATAATTATAAATAATATAAATATAAATATAAATATACATATAAATACACACAGACACACCAAGAGGAATCCTAAAAGGCCCTATATTCGAATGTAATCCCTGTGCCGATACAACTGCTAGGGTGTGTGTGATCAACAGTCGGAGTGATGAAAGGAAGTTTTTGTACTCCAAATCCAAAACCCTGAACCCGAAACCCTAAACTTGGGACTTGCGGGAAACCGTGCCAGACGCGTTGCCGTTCTCTGAGCCCTCTCCTGAAGCATGGCAACACAAATATGTACATAGGCGTGTAATACATAATTTGCATACACACCGTGTGTATATATATATATATACGCATATATGTCTATGCAGACTTTAGTATATACATATATACACATACATACTCTAGACATACACCCTATGTACTTTGTCTTTACATATACAATCTGTACGTGCTGTCCATTCTTCCTTAGCTCTCCCAATCCATCTGCTCGCAAACAAGCTCATCGGCCATGGTAAGCCCGCGGAAGGACCCGTGGTAGCGTTCACGATGCGGGCGGCCAGTACGCGCACTGGCATCCCGAAAGTCCGTCACATCGTCCCACAATGAATGGTACTCGTCCAGGGTCAAAGCATCCGTAGAGGCTTCGTGCCTGCCATAGCGGTGGAAGAGAATACGCCTGGCTGTTGGGATCAGGCTGGAGTAACATTGGAAGCCGTGCGCCGTTAGCCAGGGAAGCAGATCTTCGAAGGGTGAGCCGGCGGAGAGAAGAGCCGCTGGTTGGTACTCCTTTGTTGGTGCTTAGTACAACACAGGGCAATGACTCCCTATAATTACAACCCTAAACACAGCACAGTGAACCTAAACATATGCTGCATTCCAAACCTTGTTAGTGAAGCCATAAAGCCCGACTTGATCTTAAGACCACATCATCATTCAGTGATCCAGGTACAGTTAACCGCAATTCTCAGTGGTTCTGCGATAAACTGAAGCACCTACCGTACTTCCCTCTACTAAAACCTTCCATAATCAGATACCACATGTTCCACTAAACCCTAGACCCTCAGTAAACCCTAACTCCTCCACACAAAAACCAGCCTCAGTCCCCCAATTACTGCTAGAACCCTGAAGCCTAAGCCTCTATGGCTGAAACATACAGCAACCCTATGCCATCTAGAGCCCTCAACCGGAAGCCCTCTACTACTAGAACTCCAAACCTTACATAACCTTACACCTTCTACAGCTAAAACGCCATATAATCCTGTATAAGCCCTACATAAACCCTAAATCATCTACTGGTGAAAACCCTGCGTAGATCCTATTTGCTATAAACATCCTTCATAAACCCTGAATAAACCCTCAGACCCCTAACCCCTGAACCCTAAAAGCTACATAAACCCTAGACCCCAAAAGCTATATCAACCCTCAACCCAGAAACCCTAAACCCATAGCCTGAACTCTAAACCCTAAAACACCTAAACCCCAAACTCTAAACCCTAGCCCTAAACCCTAAGCCCTAAACTAAACCCCTGAACCCCGAACACCCCTGAAAACCCTAAAACCCCTAAAACCGCCCAAAACCCCTAAACCCCCCAAACATAAACCCTAAACCCTAGCCCTAAACCCTAAACCCCTAAAACCCCTAAGCCAAGAGTCCTAAACCCTAGCCCTAAACCCTAAACCCCCCAAAACCCCTAAGCCAAGAGTCCAGGGCCAACCAGCGAACACGCTTCTCCGCGAAGAATCGGCGGCCGCCTCGGAGGACCTTGAGCTCCCAGCCTTCGGTGTCCACCTCGTGAGGGATGTTTAGGGTTTAGGGTTTAGGGTTTAGGGCTAGGGTTTAGGGTTTAGGGGTTTGAATTAGGGGTTTAGGGGTTTGGGGTTTAGGGTTAAGGGTGCAGGGGTTGCAGCCCCAACCCCCCTAAATCATAACCCCCCACACTCCAAGCGGTCGGGGTTCAAGGTGTAGGGCTCAGGCGGTCAACCTCTGTTTTCACGATGGCCCGCCTTCAACAAGTCAATTGTTGCCATGAAGGCGTCGGCGACCACGTTCGGCACATGCCCATGAATATATCCATAGAACAAGTCGTCGAGGGTAAGGACTGCGATGGCTTCTATTGGGTGATTCTGCCCGTCGCTGTCCAGGTAGCCTTGTCGCACGAGCGAGGTAAACTCATTCTTGTTGCGCACCGTGACGGTCTCGGCCGTCTGTCCAAGTCCAACGCTCAGTATATGCAGGAGACCGGCCAAGGAGCCCTTTTGCCTGCTCTGCCTCATCTCTGACAGAAACGTCTCTGACCTGGGTTGCGCAACCTCTGCCGCGCTTAGTCGCACACCGAAGTCCATGAATTCAGTACCCACCCGGGTGTCGCAAAGATGCAAATCCTTCCTGAGGATGCCAGAAATCCCATCAAGCTGACAATACGTGCTGAGATTTTGCAGGTAGCCTAGGGATGAAAAGGCTTTGGACAGCAGCCGCCGATTCTTCGCCATTGGCTCCACACCTACGGTGAAGTAGCCATGCTCAATGAGTTGGCGGCTCCACACCATTCCATCAAATACTCCCACATCAATGGCAAACCTTAGTATCCCAGCAGCTATATTCTAAAGGGCACCCCTTTTTGGTTGGTTACTTTGCAAAGGAACCCAGAACCAAAAAAAGGGTAAAGGGTACCACTGGGCTACCAAGAAACGGAACTTGTCGACCTTTCTTTGCAGGATTGGCTGCGACATGGGCCAGCGTCGCATGCTCAGAGAATCGCCCCGAAGGCCAATACTTGATTCGGCCCGTCAGGCCCTCGGGAGCGAATGTTGCCAGCGTTCTGCTCCGCAAAATAACGGCCTTGTGTGACTTGTGGTCTTGAACCGGCACCTCGAGCAGGGCAAAAGGCCCCAAATTCTAAACCTTGGCAAAAACCTCCTAAACTACTACATCCAGCACTGTTCAACCCCTACCCAATTCCCCTAGCCCACACCCCTGAAACCCTCAGCCCGAAAATCCTAAGTTCCTAAACGCCCTACACCTTTACACCCCGTTTACAAGATTAGATGTATATACTTATAGACACACGCGCGAACATAGATATATATATATATATATCTATATATATATACAAATATATACATACATGTATGTATTCTGGATATTCCCTAAGCACCTCAGACAGGAAGAAGCCGAAGAGAGGCCAATGCTCGCTGCGGTTCGCGGCTCGTCCACCGATGCGCCAGTCCATGAAAGCCAACACCTGCTGGGAAGCGCGATTTCCTTGGTAGCCCAGTAACCCTCTTGTAATAAGGGCACCCCTTTTGGGGGTTTGGGGTTTAGGGTTACTTTTATAATGGAACCTTGAACCAAAAAAGGTAAATCGTACCACAGGGGCTGCCACATTGCCACAACATGATTTTGCAAGCTGTGGACATATTATTGCACTCTTGGTTTTCGAGGTCTAGAGTTCTAGGCTTCTCGGGTTGTGGAGTTTTGGGCACAGGTTTTAGGCTTCTGGGTTTAGGGTTGAGGGTGCCAATGTTTTACTTCTGAGGGAGTTTAGGGTGCAGGCGTGGGGTTTGAAGCTTTGCTGGTCCGGGGGTAGGTATCCATGTGCGCCTGTCTCCATTTGTAAGTATTTTTGTTTGTTCTCTGCACAGATTTTCATACTAGGAACATATTGATAGGCGTTTAATGATGCTGGTAGGGAATCAATAGTCCACTATCGTTCCCTGTTAAAGAACCATCTACTCCCTATATCAGTCCCATATAGGTCCTTGTAGCTCTACAGAAAGCCTATATCCCTAAACCCCGAGCCATGAAGTAAAACCCGAAACCCAAATCTCTAAACCCTAAACCCTAAACCCTAAACCCTAAACCCTAATCCCTAACCTAAACCCGAAACCCTAAACCCGCCCATACAACACACAACCGGCAAGTCTCGGAGAATCAGTGGATTCCAGCCATGAGCGTGATGAAACGCAGCGGCAAACCATCGATCTTTGGGCTCGTAGACAAGAGCACAGTAGAGGTACCTGCCACATACCCTACCGAGAATCTAGTGACCGAGTGAGTTTCCGTTTACTAGAAGTATTGAAGCATAACTTGCGAAGACAGCGGAAAGATGCAAATGGAGTTGAGGAGTTTGTTCAACCGCTTTGCACAGACATGTCGGAAGAGCTAGTCCGCGCGGCCGAGGTGCAAACTGAGCAACGGCTCTGTGCAGTTCTCCTAGGAGGGCCCCCTTAAAACCCTCGGAATAATATATAATGAATATGATCCTCTTAAACCCCAATAAGGGGAAGATGTAACTAATATATCCTGAATATGATCCTCTTAAGCCCCCAATAAGGGGAAGATGGTAAAAATGTCCCAAAGGGCCCACCTAGCTTCCCAGTGATCGACAATGAAGTTCAGTGGCGTAGAGGCCCGCGAAGGCTCGAAGCCTTCTCCAGTGAAGTTGACCAACTCCCACGGGTCGAAGCGGCCACAATTCCTAGACCCAAGAGAAACCTAGGAATACAAAGGGAGTACCCAATTTTTGGGTTAAAAAAGGGGCTTAAGAGGGAAACCTAAACCCCAACAAAAATGGAGAAAAAGGCCGACTTCTGGGTCCCAGCCTCTGACCCTGGCAGCTCCAGATCCACGAGCGAAATCGGCGATGAGGTTGGCGCAGGTGCCTGCGACTCTCCAAAACCTCGTTCATGGTTGGGATAGTATTAAGAAGTTAAAGCTCTGTTCCTTATTGAGTTTAAGTAGCCTTAAAGATGTAAAATGCTACCACACTCTGACGGAGAAACCTCCCGCGCCCAAGCCAAGAGCCTCCTCCTTCGCAAGCGGCTTTCTGAGAAGCTCCCACGTCCGGGACATGAGATGTTGGGCAGACCCTGGAATCTGACGGCGAAGTACTGTTCCTGCGCTGCAAGCAGGACTGCCTTCAACTCCTCCACGCGGGGATCGCTGCACTCGTAGAGCTTCATGCCTTTACCACAGATGTGCAAGCACAGCACCACCTGCCAGGCCATAAGGCGTCCATGCATTTTGTTGGTTAAGAAACAGGCTGAATTGAGGGAAGGCTGTGGTCTTGAGATCAAACAGCTGTCCAGGCTCAAGAGTAGCAAGCGAGCGCGCAACAGGTGCAAATCCGTATAGCGTCGACGGTCGACAATTCAGAGGGTACATCATCATGACCACTCTAAGAAATGGCGGTAAGCGTCACTGTATCCTATCAAGATCTCAATCAGATCTCAACCCCAGAAACCCTTAACCTGGAGAAAACGTATACCCAGAACCAAAAAATGTATTAAAGTATAGTACTCCAAAACCCACTTGGTAGCGCAGTAACCATCTCAAAATAATTGCACCCTTCTTTTCGGTTGGTTACTTTGTAAGCCAGAGCGCAAGAAAGGGCACAAAAGGTACCACTCGGCTATCAAGTTTCCCTAAACCCTAAACCCTAAAACCTAAACCCTAAACCCTAAACCCTACCGGCAAGTGAAAAAGCATCAAGTCCATCCATCCCGCACGTTGTTTCTGCGCACGGTAGCGCTGCCCGGTGCCGCTGCTCCGAACCCAGCCAGTGCGCCTACCTGTCGGAGTAGTCATGTCGGAGGTTTAGGGTTTAGGGGTTTAGGGCTAGGGGCTTTGGGTTTAGGGTTTAGTGCTTAGGGTTGGGTGCACTTCGGAGTCTCCCAACTTCGTGAGCTGCAGCTAGCAGATGCCACCGGGCTTTCTTATGACACTGGAAGGTGGTGTCGGGAAGATCGGCCGGGTGAAAACGCAGAGCAGCCCGTTGCTCATGGATGAAGCTGCATTCTGAAACAGCAAGCCTGTTGCAGCCTTCTACCTAGCCTTCCTGATCCCCAAACGTCTAGAACTCCTAGGACAGGCTGGCTAGGCTCGGTGTAAATCCAGTGCCTTACATGGCTGTGATATGTATATATATACACATGTATGTGTATATATATATTTATGTAGATGTATGCATATACCTGTACATGTATGAGTTGTCCTTCAAAACACCTAGCCTCCTAAGCTATAGGTCTGGCCTGACACGAAACGTCTGCATCCGCTCTGGCGTTGGCAGCTGCCCGGCGACCCTGGGCATAAAAGAGTAGGGTTTAGGGTTTAGGGTTTAGGGTTCAGGGTTCAGGGTCTAGGGTCTAGGGTTTAGGGTTTAGGGTTTTGGGTTTGCGGGATTAGGGAGACAGGGCACCTTTACCTTTTTACCTTTCCTAACCTGGACCCTTAGCCTCTATGAACAAGTTGTCTTAAACCAAGGGGAAGAGGACATACGAAGCGAGTATGCGTGTATCTATGTACACATACCTTGTGCAATGCACGTAGTAAATTCTGCACATCTGTATACACATACGTTTGGTCCATGGAGACAGCCGATTTAAGGTTCTCGGGCGGTCTTTGCACGAAAGGTTGGAACATGCAGGGCGTAGCGCAAGTTGTGGTCCCTGTTGAGATTCCTGTTCTCATCTGCAGCCTTACATTAAACGGGTACCCCAACAGGGACCGAGTTGTTTTCAGAAAACCCCGCATGAACTTACACTGCACTCGACATGCACGAAACGTGATGTGCAAGGATGTGCGAAGCAGAGGCAGAACCAACTGAAAGGAGGGGCAGCACAGCACACCGGAACAATATTCCAGGCGCCACGTTGGTTGCAAGTTCTCGTCTGTGCCAGCTGAGCTACCGCCAGATTTAGATACTGTCTTGCAGTGCCGCTGCTTTCTCATAGCTTCTCGTCTGGAGCAGGCTACTGCCAGCACCTACTGCAAGGAAATCAGGCAAGCGAGTCTGAGCCAGGCGCTGGTACGAGATCTTCACGTCAAGGTCGCGGTTGTTCGTCGCATTCTTCCGGACCGCCATCCTCGAAGGGAAAGAATGCTAAAATGCGTCACGCACCCTGGGCTCCTTTTGCTGGACCTATAGGTTACCCTAAACTCTAAACCCTAAACCGCAAACCCTAAACCCTGAATCCTAAACCCAAATTCTATTTGCAAGAGCAACTTCGGAAGTCAGGATTAGGGTCTGTATTGGCTTTGTGCATGGGCGGTGCCTTCCGGTCACAAGATCGCCAGGAAAGACCACAAGCGGCCTAGGCACGGAGGGCGGGAGAGGGGGTGTTGGAGGTTCGGGTCTGCATCGCGGATCCTCGAAGCCCGAGGGCGCGGGGGGGGAGGGGGAGGGAGGGTTACACTTTTGGCGTGGGGCTTCGGCGTTCCGCGTAGTTTCGGGATAAGTCGGAGCATATCTGGTTGGGGTGAGGATTGTTGAAGGCTTTGGGAGGGATGCTTGGAATTTGTAAGATTTCGGGTTGAGAGTTTGGAGTCTTCAACGTTGGGTGTGATGGCAGGAGGTGCCACTAGCTGATTCCAGAGTCTCGGGAGCAACCCCTGCACCACCGAGTTCACGAGTTGATATAGGGGCCTGAATCATTCGAATTGGGTTTTGGGGGGTTATTACAGTATGATGATAAAGGGACCCTAAGAGAATATTAGTAATTACTCCGATCCATAAATTATGTCAAACTATCTGCGATGGCTGAGGCCGGCGCTCTTCGAGGTAAAGAACCTTAGCTTGATGCATTGGGTGTGTACGGGTAGCGGATAGCGGCACCCTAAACCCTAAACCCTAAACCCTAAACCCGAAATCCTAAACCCTAAACCCTAAACCCTAAACCCTAAACCTAAGGAAATCGTGAAGTATACGTCCAAGAACCCGTGAAGTCGACGGAAACCGCTTTCAAGCCTGGAGCCTGGGCACGCCTCGAAGACACAATGCCCCACAGCCCCAAAGCGACGGCCCTGAGTCCCTAAATAGCTACGCACACTGAACATCGTAATTTTACACTTCACTAAGCCCTCTATAAGTGCTCTTCAGGATTCTGGAAGCATCTTCTGACAAGCCTTTAAACACCGTTCCTTAGCAAGGGCTGGGGTTTAGGGTTTAGGGTTTAGGGTTTAGGGTTTAGGGTTTAGGGTTTAGGGTTTAGGGTTTAGGGTTTAGGGTTTAGGGTTTAGGGTTTTTAGGGTTTAGGGTTTAGGGTTTAGGGTTTAGGGTTTAGGGTTTAGGGTTTAGGGTTTAGGGTTTAGGGTTTAGGGTTTGGGGGTTGGGGGTTGGGGGTTGGGGGTTGGGGGTTAGGGTTTGGGGTTTGGGGTTTGGGGTTTAGGGTTCAATAATTGCGCCCATGGGAACCGTCTGCTTCCAGTGGGTATCTGGCTGCCCTGGGGCCGTGGAAAGTGGCGAGGCCTTGGAGGATGTAGGGTTTACTGTTTAGGGGCTAAACCTATGGTTGTGATAATCGTGTTTTTTTATTCCTTATAGGGTTTAAGGTACCCAACTATGACAAAGAAACAATCCCCAAACAACAAACCCTGGACCCTATGCCAACATGTAGATGTGCCACGTATGGATATTCGTTCCTGATTCTTTGTAGGGAACTTGGGTACCCTATGCAATCCCTTCTGCGCGGGCACATATGGTACCCAATGATAACAATAAAAGTGAAAACAATAATAATAATAACAGCAATAATAATCATAAAACAATAATAGTAATAATAATAATAATAATAACACTGATCATAATAAGAAGAATAATAAATAATAATAGTAATAATGAAAACAATAATAGTAATTGTACTCCAAACACAAGCATGGTAGGGCTCAAACAGTACCAGGCGAAGCTGATCCTGAACTCGAAGGGTAGTTGCATGGTCTGTATGGGGCCCTTAAGAGGGGCCCCTTACATACCCCTTCTGCACCCCGTGCGAATGAAGGACCCATACATCTCAACCCTTTAAGGGGAGGGTGGGGACCATATGAAACTACCCCCAAACCCTAAACCCTAAACCGTACAGTTCTTTGGCTCCTTGACTCCTGTAGAACTTCGCAACTGGAAGCTATCAGGAGCTTTCGCCACGAACGGCTCGTCAAAGAGCAACGCTACTGTTCGTAGGGTTTAGGGTTTCGGGTTTCGGGTTTAGGGGTGTAGGAGTTCGGGTTTAGGGGTTAGGGGTTTAGGGTTTACGGTGCTATGAATCTTAGGACATAGCCCATACCGGCAGGCTCCTGTCCACAGTTTACCTGCTCTGGGTGCCCGTCATCGGGGGAGGCATCGAAGTAAACGTCGAACCAGACCACCTGGCAAATCAGAGCTTGTGGGTTCTCAAAAATATAAGTGAACAAATTGCTTAAAAAATAATGTATCGGTGCGGAGGGAACACAAACGCCAAACCGTAAACTCACTGTCACTCCAGAGTTCAGCCACCAGAGTGTGCTTGTAGGAAGGAGACGCAAAACAACGTCTGGCTTGCTGATATGGAGATTTTCGTTTTAGGGTCTACACAGGACTTCAAAAAAACGAACCAACCAAAGCTAAACATGTTCCTACTGTAAGTCCCTGGCGCCTTTGAATATGTCCTAAAGAAAGACTTACCCTGCAAGCCTGGCCAGAAAGAAGATCCTTCTTCAAACACTGTAGGGGAAGATAAGCAGCTCGGTCCTCAGGGCCTACCGAGGATACCACTAAAAACAAAACTAAACACGAAGCCCCAAACCCTACCCATACCAGATGCCACTTCTACATAACAGGCTCGTGACTTTGCCAGGTGCAGCCTAGGTGTATATCCATGCAACACACCCCACACTCCCAAAGGATCCAGACTTAAGGTACAGTTCAGGGATCCGCAATGCTACCTCAACCAGCACTTGCAAACTAGAACCAGCAGCTGCAAGTCTCAAGAGGGTGCACGGGCAGACGAAGGCGTGGATGAAGTCTTGCCGCAGGGCTTTCATCGAAAAGGACCTGGGCAAGACGCTTGGTTTACCCTACTCAGTTACTCTGGAGTAGGACCCTGGAAACAAGTATATACATTTTTACGGATAAGCAGCTATAATCGGAACCCTGTTTCAACAAAGTATTAAAGTATAGTACTCCAAAACCCGGTTTAGGGCAGAAGGAAGGCTCGTGATGCCACTGCTGCTGGCAATCAGCAGGGACTCCGCACCATGCAAAGCAGCCCATGCAGGCAAGATTGCTGCAACTGCCTGCTCTGCAGTAAGGATGCGAGTGCTTTCATCGGTGCTGTAGCCACTACCCTAAGTATGCGAGATCTTCCTAACCGTCACCGAACGAACCTGGAAGCATCGTTTCGTTCTCCTGAGGTCCGAACGACACAAAGTCCAGCTCCTTGCCTGGGTTTAGGCATGGCTTTATGCGTGCAGGATGTAGAGATTTAGGGTTCAGGAGAACCGACACCTTTAAGAGGAATGCATAGCATCAACTTAAGGCATCCTTCTCATGCTCTGTTTGCGAGCTAAGGGGACGTCTTCACGTCTAAGTTCACCTCAAACTCCACGACTGACTTGTCCAGCTTCCCAGAACGACAAAAACTTAGGGGCAACGTCGGGGAAATACTACCACCCACTGACCTCAACCCCGCACCTCAGGCCCTCAACCCTAAACCCCAGCTCCAAACCCTAAACCCTAAACCCTAAACCCTAAACCCTAAACCCTAAACCCTAAACCCTAAACCCTAAACCCTAAACCCTAAACCCTAAACCCTAAACCCTAAACCCTAAACCCTAAAACCCAAACCCTAAACCCTAAACCCTAAACTCCCTAAACTCCCTAAACTCCCTAAACTCCCTAAACCCTAAACCCTAAACTCTAAACCCTGAACCCTAAACCCTAAACCCTAAACCCTAAACCCTAAACCCTGAACCCTAAACCCTAAACCCTAAACCCTAAACCCTAACCCTAAACTCGCAAAACTACTGTTGCGTGCACCTAGGCCTTCACTCCTAAGAGCCGTTACCTGGCCCCGAAGCTGATGGAGGGGCGGGGGGGGGGTTAGGGTTTAAGGTTTAGGGTTTACGGCGGGGTTCCTAGAAAGAAGGGTTATGGTACTTTGCGGGGGGGGGGGGGGTTCTCCAAGCAGTTTTGCGGCAAGTACCTAAATCTGGGAGGGAGGGACGCGGTTTTTTGGCTGTGAATGACGGGCCCTTATTCTTACTTGTTGCCCCGACGATGAAGCCTTTGGGGTTTTTGGGTTTCAGAGGGTTGAGGGTTCAGGGTTTAGAGGGTCTAGAGGGTTTAGGATTTAGAGTTTAAAGGGCTTAGAGGGTCTAGAGGCTTTAGGGTTTAGCGTTTACGGTTCAGAGGCTTTTAAAGGTTTAGAGGGTTTCTAGGGCTTCTAGTACAGTAATCATTGGGTGCTTAAGTACCCTGAACCTCCCAGGAGGGCTCTTTGAGGGCTTCTTCGTAGCCCAGGAACCATACTACACTAAGGGCACCCCTTGTTTTGGGTTGGTTACTTTTAGAAGGGAACCTTGAACCCAAAAAAAGGGAAAAAGGGTACCACTGGGCTACCAAGGTTTTTATAAGACTGCTGAGATGCACTGGACGACTCGAAGGTTCATGTCGAAGACCTCAGCGGCGGCGCAGGAGGTCCCGGGCTTCTGTGGGCCGAGGCGACGGTTTAGGGTTACCTGAAACCCTACACCCTCAACCCTAAAACCTAAGTCCTAAACTCTAAACCCAAAACCCAAAACCCTAAAACCTAAATGCTCCCTATGCCACGGCGAGGGGCGCACGCCGTCTCCGTGACCAGGGAGAGTGGCTCGACGATGTCAGAGATGGGCTCCTGGATAGCCTTGCATAGCCGCTCGAGGGCCTAAACCCTAAACCCTAAACCCTAAACCCTAAACCCTAAACCCTAAACCCTAAACCCTAAACCCTAAACCCTAAACCCTAAACCCTAAACCCTAAACCCTAAACCCTAAACCCTAAACCCTAACCTAAACCCGAATCCCTAACCTAAACCTTAAACCCTAAACCCTAAACCCTGAACCCTAAACCCTAAACCCTAAACCCTAAGCTTAGGCCGCTTGAACCCTGAGTCGCCAGCGTACCACGGCAATCTTTGCAACCCTAAACCCTACATCTCTACGTGAGTAGTTCTCCCTTTTTGAGCCGCTTGTATAGTACACCACCCTCTAAAAACAACGGCCCCCAAAAGGGACCAAAACTTCGAGAAAACCTCAACCCTACCGGTTCGGGGTTTAGGGTTTAAGGTGTAGGGTTTAGGGTAGAGGCCCCTGAACCCAACAAATCTGAGCAGCGCGCGTACTCCGCCAAAGGGCTAAAGTTGAAGCCTCGAACGTGGGTCCAGTGCCCGAGCCTCGAATCAAGCAGATATGAACTTGTCACAAAGATGAGTTGGTAAATCAGTATCGGTTCTCATTCTTAAAGTCTTACTGTCAAGAATATTGTTACAGTTTCTTGAATCATGTTCACTATCAGACCAAATCTTTCACGGGGTTTAGGATGGGTTCGTGAATGATCTAGAAGTTTTAGGGTCCAGGCGTGTATGGGCGAGGGCGTCTAGGGTTGGGACTGTGGGCTACGGGGCTCTTGGTTCGCAAGGTTGAAGGCTGAAGATGTGGCCTGGTGCTTACACCCTAACCCCAAACCCTAACCCTAAACCCTAAACCCTAAACCCTAAACCCCTCAAGGCACTAGTGGCTGCAGAGGTCAAGATGGTCCTAGCTAAGTTTAGGCGCGACACAGCCATCCAGGGGTTGCAGCCTAAGGATAGGCTACGGGGCTCAAGTCGGCAGAGGGTTTAGGGTTTAGGGTCTAGGGGGTTTAGGGTTTAGGGTTTAGGGTCCCCCAGCAGCCTGGCCATAGGAGTTCCACCCTTGTGCTGTAGGAATTGAGGGGGATACCCTTGCGTGTACTTAACTTTGTTTAGAAGAAAACCATTCAACAAAAAAGGGATAGGGTTTAGGGTTTAAGGTTTAGGGTTTAGGGTTTAACAAGCATGCCAAGTGCGCCCAGACTTGGCAAGGCGGCTTCTCTTCCCGGTACTCGGCATCCTCGATCCCGGCGATGAAGAGGTTCGCGCGGTCCGGGAACAGGTGGCCTCCTGGCGGTCATAGGGTTTAGGGTTTAGGGTTTAGGGTTTAGGGTTCTAGCGTTCGCCATGCGTTTGAGGGTGGTTCTACACTACAAAGCATTCTCAACAGGGACCCTGATTTAGAGAATGAACACACGTCACTGGCTCTATCCTCAGGCCACTCTAGCCAAACCCTAAGCGAACAGTGACAGTGACATCAAGCCTGGTCTCAGCCACTTGTCCCGGGCGAAGAGAACACTGTCCAGCATCGACTCCTCAGAAGTTGCACCCGAAACCAACAGCAGCTTTAACCCTAAGCCCTAAGCCCCAAGCCCCAAACCCGAAACGCTAAGACCCTAAACCCTTAATTCCTAAAACCCTAAAACCCGAAAACCCTAAACCCGAAACCCTAAACTCTAAAACCCTAAACCCTAAAACCCTAAAACCCTAAAACCCTAAACCCTAAACCCTAAACCCTAAACCCTAAACCCTAAGCCCTAGCTTGCAATCATCTTGAAGCTCTCCCTCAATCAAGCCCGGGATTAAGCTCTATAAGTCTTCGAAGCCGGGGTTGGAGCTTCAGGTTCCCCAAACTTCCGCCGGCCTGGCCCCAAAACCTTCTCAACACCTTATAAGGGACTCCTAAACCCTAATACCTAAACCCTAAACCCTAAACTCCAAACCCTAAACTCCAAACCCGAAACCCTAAACCTTAAACCCTAAAACCTCAACCTTAAACCCAGACCCTAAACCCTAAACCCTAAACCCTGAACCTTGTAAGCTGCAATACCGAAAACCCTAGATACCCGTTCCCTGAACCCCCTTCAAACAAAAACCTTGAAGTACACAAAAACTCGTCCCAGCCACGAACATGAGGAAGTAGCCTGGGGCTGGGTTCTCTGGCAGCCCAGGATTGTTTGGGGGTTTGGGGTTTGGGGTCTGGGGTCTGGGGTTCCTAAACCCTAGACACTACACCCTCTGGCTTCGTGGCTGGTTCGAGCTAGAGGGAGGGCAATCTCCCGTGTTGACGACCCTATTTTTTTTGCATAAGCCTTAACGGATTTAAGGGTATTTTTCGGGTCCCCTATGTCATGCGGGACACTAAAAACAGTTGACCCTACAAGGGACCCTAATTTAGAGAACTATCCATTGGACCACAGTAGAAATACGCAAAGCGCCAAGAATATAGGCCATTGGTTACTCTGGCTTAGACTGGAGCATCAGAGACCCTGGCCAAAAAATGCATGTGGAGTTTTTAGGGTAAGCTCCAATTTGGCGACAGAAGAAGCAGACCCGATGTCTGCTCTGTCAACTGGTTTAGGGTGTAGGGCTTCGGGGTAAAGGCTCAAGATCTAGCGATCAACAAGAAGCGAACACACCCCATACACTAAGTAAGCCCTAAAGCCTAAACTCGCGTCAAGCGGCCCATCCACTCAGAGATGATGATGTCCACTTTCTCCACCGGAATCTCGACCTCTTCCACCTTTTGGCGGTCTGTGGGGTACCAAAAACTTGTTGGCGTTAAGGGTTTAGGGTTTGGGGCTTAGGGCAAACTTAATGTTTCGGATGCACCCAATAAGGGTCCAATCTTAGAGAACTGCCAGCATGTCCAGCATTGCTCATTCCGAACCTCATGCCTGAAAAGCCAGCAATGCAGCAACATCCCGAAACCCCAAGCCAGGGGTGGGCTGTAACAAAAAAATGCTTCCTACAAAGTTGATAGGGTTATGTGGGCTAAGGGTTTAGGGTTTATAAAGGGTTTAGGTTTTAGGGATTAGGTTTAGGGTTTTTAGAGGGCTTCGGGCCCATAGAACTTTGAAACTAATTCCCAATCATCCCCAGTCATCCCCAGGAGTGAGAGACCTCACCTTGCCCTGCACGTAAGTGATGACATCGCCGAAGCCGTTCCGCCGCGCAATGTCAGTTGCCTAAGCGGCGAGGGACCGCGAGTTTCGAACGCAAGCCTTTGCTGGGCAAAACCCTCGGCTCTCAAATAGGGTGCAGTCCGCCTTCTTCCTACGGAAGTAGGTGCCCAGAAGCCATGTCAAATAGGTACATACTTCCTACTATGGGAGCTTCAGTTTCCAAAGCAAGAACCCTGAACATAGAAGCACCCCCCATCAATGGACCCCTAATTTTCGGAGCCCTCCCCCATAAACCCCTAAACACTAGACTCCTAAATATCGTACCAAATGCGCCCCCCTGGGCATCTGCTTCAACTTCACAAAGCGGCTGCAGGGGGAGCTCTTGGCACCAAGGGCCTACTAGTATCTACCCTGAGAAAGAGAGAGGGAACGCAGCAATGCAAGTACAGTTTCAACTCTTCAAGATGTAGAGGTCACTCCACATCTAAACCCAGACGAGTAAGCCTCGGGCGTAGCTCGCAATGTTTGAGCACTCGATGCCCACGACCCGCGCCGCACCAGCGCGTGCTGCGAACAAGGAGAGAATGCCTGTACCTGAGCCCGAGAGGCAGAATATCACGAACATTCGTGCCCAAGAAGAATAGTTGAAACTCTCGAGGCGAGGAAATGCACCCCGTACCCTTTCCATCCCGATGCCCTGTATGGTGATTTCTCTCAATTGTGGTTCCTTTGGGGTCCTCATTATGAGGCGGTCCCTCTTATTTAGGGTACCCAAAAAGGGACACTAGTTTCGAGAGCTCACCATATCCCTGTCTACACACTAACACTAAGCAAGTCACACCAAGCGCAAGAAACTTGTGAGCACGGAGCCTTCATCCTAGCGACCATGAGTCGATCTAAGGGGGTTTACGAGGGTCTCCTGAAACACCGAAGCCATCGACCGCGCGCGTACCCGAACGCCTGACAAGCGACTGCCACCCCCGACTTGTCCACCACCCAAAAACCCACAGAACTCAAGCTGCAATATGAAACCTGTATCAACAAAAACCATAACCCTTCGCCCTGCACCCTAAACCCTAACCTTTAAGCCTTTAACCCGAAACTCTAAACCCTAAACCCACACAAGAGACTCTTTTGGGGCAGGTCGCCTGCTCCAACATCCAGCACCGTTTTTCCTTGGAAGATGGCCTGCGGGAGGAACTTATAGGGTTGCTTTTGGGGGTTCTGCCCCTGAGCCTTAGGCCTTAGGGTTTAGGGTGTAGGGTTTAGGGTTTACTCCCACAAGGGATTGTGTTTCTAAGAGCCGGCAAGAGTATCTCTGGAAAAACGGGTTTTCGGCTTCGGAGGATTAGAGAAACTGCATTCTTGACTTTTGTTCGGGGCTGGAGCCCTTCCGTGCAACTTAAAGCAGCTCAATGCTTGGTGATCCGCCTTGGCATTGTTGATGGCATTCATGTAGCTGCTGGTGCGGACGTAGTCCTGGCGACTTTGGGGTCCGGACCCTTGCACCCTTAAACCCCAACGCCCCAAACCAGGACCATGCTTGCAAGCTACTAGGGCCAAGGGCAACTCTGCCAAGTATTCTTCTAGTGAGCCTCACTTGCCGGGCCCAGGGTTCCTTTGGCAAAAGATGTGCGCTTGCTTTGGTTTGATGAGCTGGGTACTTCCCCAAACAGGAAAACCCCTATTATACCACAAATGAACGAGCCCTTACTATCGGAACCCCCACAAATGGCACTCCCTATCTTCGGAAACCCCCAGGTTTGCCCTAAACCCTAAACCCTAAACCCTAAACCCTAAACCCTAAACCCTCATGGTCCTTCAGCATGTCCTCATGGATGCCGAAGCGAGCCTGACTTCAGAAACTCGCAGGCGGACGTGGTTTGGGCCACGATCCACCCAGCACCCCAAGAAGGAATACGCCTCTACTACATGGCCCTGGTTCCCATGAACCTAAAGAAATGGAACCAGTATATGCTTTCTACAAGGTGATATGGGTCCGACAAGCCTTCTAGGAATAACGGTCTGTCACCCACCATAAAACCTAAACCCGAAACCTTACACACTAAACCCTAAACCCTAAACTCACCAATAGCAGCCAAGACCATCGACGCAATCTTGCCGCGGCATGTGCAAGCATGCGCAACATGTCAGACCTACGAACCAACTAGGTGGTTTAGGGTTAGGGTTAAGGGTGTCTTATGCTGGTTCTTAGTAGCGACTTACAGAATTAGGAATCTATAGGGCTCCCTGAAGCCCAACAGAAGGCACCGAATTCCCAAATCGCCTACGAAGAGTCAGCCAATGCCTTAAAGAGGGTTTTATTGTTTAGGAAACCCTAAGCTCTAAGCCTCTGAAACTAACCTTATTATGGTCGAGCCAAGTTGCATAGGAGCTGAAGTAGTAGTCCTGTCACGCATGCTCTGACAACAAGGATGCACATCAGTAACTGACTGCTGTATGTGTCGAAACCTAACCCAAGTTCCAGTAGACCCAAAATGCCCCGCATTCATGCCATGAAGATTTGTTGCTTCTCTTTCGGGGCAGACCCTTGCTTCATTGAGAGCCATGGCCAAAGGTTCATGCCTTGGGATTCTTCGGAGAGAACTTTTCTCCAAAAGCAACCAATTGACGCATCGTGGCCTTCACCAACCTCACCGGGTTGAGCTTCTAAGGCTCTGCGTCCCGAAGCGCTGCAGAACTCACCCTGGCAGCATCCCGTGCATCCTGGAAGAGCTTCGTCGGAGAGTTCTCGGCGAAACCGGCCCTTACCCTTTCCAGCTGCTCTACGACGACGGTGCCCAGAGGGGCATAGCCCATGGTGGCAAATGCTTCCTGCAGGTGCGCATGGAAGCTACTGGCATGGGGACCCATGTCTCCTGTTGTCGATGTCCAGACGTGGAAGCGGTAGGAGAAAAACTTGTAGCGTGCGCCTGGCAGGGGCAGGCTTTTTGGGAGCTGGTGAGTATGGTGCAAGCGGATAGAAAGAAAGAAAGGATCTACTGACACTTAATAGGGTTCTAGTGTACCCTTTGCCCCTGAGCTCAACATATCAAAATACGGGTTGCCGGAAGCACGTTGCCATAACTTCCGAGGCACCCATCCACATGGCGTGAGACCCGCGGTACAAGGCATTGGAGAAGCCCATCAGCACTTCCACCAGAAACCGGGTCTTGAGCTCACCCCCCCGCAGGGCGACCAAGAGACCCTCGCCATCATACTCCTGAAGGATGCCAAAGCTGATGTTGTCGTGCTTCACCACCTTAAGGTAGCCCAGCAACCCTAGTATAAGGGTTAGCTGGCTAAGTAAAAAAGGGACCAGGTACGACAGTAGCCATATCCTAATAAGGGTACTGGTGCCCTTTGTTTGGGGTTGGTTACTTTAAATAAGGGAACCTTGAATCCAACAACAAGGGGGCCGAAAGGATGCCACTGGGCTACCAAGCCACACCTATTACGCGAAACCATGCGTCGCCCTTGGCGGAGTTCACAGATACCTGGACAGTCAAGCTAGACACCAGTGGCCTGAAATTCTCCGCCTCTTTGGTGGCTGTAGCTATGGCATCGAAATACTCAATGCTTTGCTCGGGGTCCGGAGCGATGGTGCAGTCCTCATACCGGAAGATTCGGCACCAGGCGCGATCCGCAACGACTTCGTTCACCTCTGTCGTGAAGTCCTCGGGGGAGTTCCGCAAACGCATGAGGTCTTCATCTTCTTGGAGTGCTCGCAGCAAGGCAGCCTTTGTAGCCCAGTAACCATCTTACAATCAGGGCATCTTGTTTTGGGGTTGGTTACTTTATAAGGGAACCTTCAGTCCCCCAAAAGAGGGGCAAAAGGGTACCACTGGGCTCCCCTAAGCCCTAAGCCCTAAACCCTAAGCCCTAAGACCTAAACCCTAAACCCTAAACCGTAAGCCCTAAACCCTAAGCCCTAAGCCCTAAGCCCTAAACCCTAAACCCTATACCAAGCAGCATAGTCAGAAGCAGAGACCCCGGCGCTGGAGAGCGCCGACGTGCCGGCGCTTTCCATCCAAACGCTGCCTTTGCGCTCTTCCAGCTCCTGGGTTGGCCCCTTATAAGCCCTTTGAAAATTACATAAATAAATAAATAAATATATATATATATAAACAACATATATATATATATAAGTTATATATATATATATGTATATATACCCTTATATACACCCAAAAGAAAGGAAGTAAAAAACGGCCTCACCTTATAAACACAAATAAAGGAAATCTAAAACAGCCTCACCTTATAAACCCAGAATAAGGAAAATGAGGAAAACTCTTGAAAATGGCCCGAAAGCTAACCTAGGATCAGCAGGAGCCTGCATGGTGTTTTCACCAGACCATTGGCTTCCGGGCAATGGGGCGTCCGGGACTTGTCGGATGTCTAAATTCACTTTGCCCCGCTTGGCGAAGTTTTGTACGGGATCCTCGCTAGAGAGATTCTGTCCATCCCAAAAGCATTGGATAAACTCAGGCGCCCCTCCGAAAGTCTGTGCTGCAATCTCCTTAATGTCACTGATGCGGCCTCCTTTCTGGATCTGCATGGACATGCTGGTGGCTGGATAGCCTCCGCCGCGGCTGTCTTGCAGCATCAAAGTCAGCATTTGACTTCCTGGACGCTTTAACACTGAAGCTGGCCGCTTCGTAGCCGATGCAGCAGGCCTCTTCATAGCCAAGGCCGCAGGCCTCTTCATAGGCAAGGCTGCAGGCCTCTTCATAGCCGATGCGGCAGGCCGCTTCATGGCCAACGTGGCAGGCCTCTTCATGGCCGATGAGCGATGTGCAAGCGCAGTAGACTCTTGTTGGTAATTCAACATCTAGGTCATTGCCCTGCCTAGAGCATGGTCACTTGACAAGAGATTCGCAACGGAATCCGGCGTAACCTAGAACGGTTGAAAAAATGTTGTCATCCAAAGCAGAGACCTAAACCCTAAACCTACAACTCCCAAAATATATCCCCGTTGAACCTTCTTCAGTGCTGGAGTTCAGGCTTCGGGCTACCTCCTAGTGGGGCCGCGGGGTCTGCCCCATATAGTGCAGTCCGGCTTGCAGAACGAACATGTACCGAAACATGAGGTCCTACAACAGGGCCGGGCCCAAGTAGACTGTAGAAGGTACTTTTAAAATGGGATCACAGTCTGAAGAACGAGCCCCCATTCTTGAAATTCTGGTTTTAGAGTCTGCTAGAGTAACCAGGCTACTTGCAGTGGACAAGGGGTAATTTAGAAACAAAAAGAAAGTATGAGGTGATGTAATTGATCGGTATTGAGCTCCTCTTGGGGGGTGTAAGTTCTAAACCCAAGGTATCACCTTGGGTACCCCTTTTGGTTTTAAGGGGCTTATAAGTGAACCTATAAGCCCCCAAAAATGGGTCCTAGTTGCCCGAAACCCTAAAACCTTAAACAAAGCGAGTAAGGGCCTACCCTGGGCCCCAGTGTTCCCACAGCGCCTGCACGCTCGCGCTGCCCGCGTCGGGTAGGGGCTCCCACTGGCTCCGAAACTCCTCCAAGCTCTGCTCCTTGAAGGGGGTTCCATAGGGTTTAGGGTTTAGGGTCTGGGGTTTATAGTTTACAGGGTTTAGGGTTTGGGGGGTTTAGGGGTTGGGTTGAGGGATTGGGGTTTGGGGCTTAGGGTTTAGGGTTCCCCTGAGATGCTTACAGGGTTTGAAAGCACAGGGCTCATACTCTATTCTAAGGCCCCCCCAGCCATGCTGCCTCGAGTTGCATGCTGCATGAAAAATTGCATGCTGCCTCACGGGGCGCACATCGCACTCGTGCGTGTCGGAGGCGTACGCGCGCAATTGAGACAGCATGCAAACATTCAGGCAGCAACCTGCCTGAGGCGGCATGGCTTTGGAGGCTCTTGATATAGGGTTTGCCCGGGATCCTCAAAGTGGCCCTTACGAGGAACGATTCGATCCAAACTGATCTGCCCGTTTGGAACCGATTCACAGTAAATCAACCAAAACTGCTAAGGGTGTGCAAGGTGCAGATAGCTTCAGAGTGACTAACCAACATGCATTGCCGCAATTCTCCTAAGGTTGAAGGCTTTGGTCAGTGTGAACGACTGTTTGTACCAATCTGGCCAAACACCTTAACCCTAAGCCGAGAATGCCTTTTGGGGCAAGGCTCCGGGCCTAGGTTGGGGCTTGAGGAGGTTTAGGGCCGGATCCAAACTCCCCTCCAACCCTCCTAAGCCCTTGAGCGCTTTAGTCGCCCCCAACCCCCCCAACCAAACATTGAAACATCCGAAGCCGAACAAAACTGGTGCCTCATACTACCTCCGATTGGATTTGTGGTTGGCCGCCCTCCACATTTTACAGTGGTCACCGCCCCCCCCCCCCCCCCCCCCCCCCCCCGCGCCCCCAAAGTTGCCCTGTAATGACCTTACTCTACCATTACCCGAAACCCCAAACCCAGAACCACAAGTAACAAACGAATATCAGCAAGAAAGCCAGCAACCACCCGGGCCTGCTCGGCAGTCTCACAGGGGATCCAGCGAGCCTTGCCATCGTAGCCGGAGTTGCCTTGGACTTCCGGGGATTTAGGGTTTAGGGTTTAGGGTTTAGGGTTTCGGGTTTAGGGTTTAGGGCTAGGGTTTAGGGCTTGGGCCTGAGGATTGTCGGGTTTTTCGTTCTTTTTTTTTTTTTTGTTTGGGGGGGGGGGGGGGGGTTGGCCCTTGCGTTTTAGGATTCCTAGCTCTATGACGTGAAGTCTGGCGCGAAGCAATGCAGTTTAGGGTTTGGGGCAGGCTCCTTTAGCAAAAGCTGCGGTATAGGCCTAGTCGATGAAAGTTGGAATGTTCGGTTAGTTTCTGCAGCACTCATGAAGGGCTCACACGGGGCAGTAGTGGTCAATTGGCTCCTGCGTTACATCTTGAAACCTGTCATTGCCTCAAGCCGCCCCTTACCTACCCCAGAACCCACTGAATCCCTGAATGGGGGGTTTTCGACATTAAGGGGTACCTTTGTGGGGTCCTCATCATACGGGAATCCTACTATTACTACTTGGGATGGGGTACTTTAGGGGTCCCTCTATTTTCGTAAACCCTAAACCCTATATAAAGCCTAAACCCTAAACCCTAAACCCTACACCCGAAACCCCAAACCCTAAATCTGAGCGTGCAGTCAGTGATACCTGCTGCTGGCCTTTTCAGCGCCTTCCGCGTCATCTCGCAGAGCTGCAATCTCCAGCCATGGTGGAGATGGGGTTTAGGGTTTAGGGTTTAGGGTTTAGGGTTTAGGGTTTAGGGTTTAGGGTTTAGGGTTTAGGGTTTAGGGTTTAGGGTTTAGGGGGGCAGGATAGAGGGCTCAGGGGATTCAGGGCCTTTGGGTTTCAAGGTGCTGAAGCTTAAAAGGTCTTGAGGTTCAGGAGCGTTTCGCCTCCGGGCTGTTTCGCGCTTTGAGGATCTCAGGTCAAGCTTCGAAATGTGGATGAGGCTCGTGCCAACTTCTGGTTGCTCAGGGAATGCGTGAAAGTCTCTCAGGTGTTCAAGGGATGCATGCGATCCCAGCAAACGCACTTCCTGCCACAGCCGACGTGCCGCATGCGCAACACCACATAGACGCGAGAGAACATAGAAATGGGCAACAGGAACGTAACTCATCTCCAGGAAGACATTGCACATTGTACATCCACATGGCCAGAGCATGAGAGAATTAGTTGCACACAGAAACCTACACCCCCTAGACCCAGGAGTAACCTAGAAAAAAAGGTTCACGTTTTTTAGTTTAAAGGGGGTTATAAGGAGCCTAAACCCTAAAAAAAGGGAATAAGGGCCTACTCTGGGTCCTAGCCCCTCATGGAGGGCAGCTGCTCAGCAACTTGCAACTTGATTGGTTGTACATCTGCACCTCGGTGCGCCTCGTAATGCAGATCCAACGCTGCCGGGCCACACGGGCCGGAACGAATTCGCTAAACAGTCATTAACAGCCAGGCAATCGTGGGATCCGGTAACTGTGCTCAAAGATTTTGCTTGGCTAGAATTTGGACCATTCTATGATGGTATATTAACATTCTGAGATAATGGATTAATAAAGCATGTATGTTAATGCAAAAATTTTGACCTTATGCTATGTTCAATCATAGGGGTATTTCCCCCAATAGGGGCACCCTAAATAGACCCCAAAGATATAATCTTTACTATGAAGGGTACTCTAAACCCTAAACCCTAGACCCTAGAGCCTAAACCCTAAACCCTAAACCCTAAACCCTATATCCTAAGCCCTAAACCCTATACCCTAAACCCTACTCCTATTTTCGGAAACCCCCCATGCCATTCTTTGGGAATAAGACCCACCCGTGCCTTGCCGAGTACTGCTCTGGCCGGCTCTGCGGACAGAGGCAGAAGCGCAATCCGACGTGGCAGTCAACAGATGTCAACAGGGTTTAGGGTTTCTAGGGTTTCTGGGGTTTCTAGGGTTTCTAGTTTTCCTAGGGTTTCTAGGGTTTCAAAAATGCCCCAAGAGTACCTGAAAGAGAACTACTTACAGTAGGCTCTGCAGATCTCCCGTCAACCTATGACCTGTTGACCGCAGAGCCCGGGAAGGCTCAAAATCTAACCCGACCGTGGGCCATCACACGTCTTCGATGGGATCATCCGAAAGGGCCTCGACCGCTGAGCGTTCACTGAGTCGAGGAAACACACCTTACCTTGACCTTCGTTGTTTTAAATAGCGCATGAGGGCTCCTCTAGCCAACCGCACCCTGCTGCACGTTATGCTTGCTATGGCAAAGTAGGCCGGAAACGGAAAGCATTCAAGGTGCCAGCTGTCAATCCAGAGGTACCTGTTGCGCAAAACCCGTAAGCGTCTGGCAAATCTCCAGCTGTCGGGCCTCAGCATCTCCACATCTGCTCAACTGTGTGTCATAAACAAACGTCGTCCAACCGTGAAAACCTCTAACGCCAACATCGGCGTTGCAGCTGACGCTGCAAAGAGGCGCCTCCGGCAAACAAAGAAAAGAAAACAACAACAACAACAACAACAACAACAACAACAACAACAACAACAACAACAACAACAACATTGCATTGCACTCACTGCCAGAATCAGCATGTGGACCTCTGATCACTTTGGATCCTCGGCACGTCGGCTACTCTGTATCCGCCTTGGGAGCTCCAGCAGTCTTTGCTAGTTCGTACTTCATGCCCCTCAGGGCTGCTGAAAGATTGTTGTGCACAGCTATGTTCGATTATGTGGAATGCATCCGCCCCTCAGGGCTGCGATAGCGCTGTGCTGGCTGGGCACCCTACGACCGCTTCCTACTGGCTCACCTGCACCCGCGACTGCTGCAGTGCCGGCTGGCCCCGATGTTGTGTTGCAGGCTAGAGCTGTGCGCTAGCTGAGTTTGGTGTGATTAAGGCGGGCAAGTGTGATTTAGAAGGTCTCACCCGCCTTTTTTATTTCACAGTCCGGCCTTTTGGACTTCGAGAGGATCGCTTCCTCCAGATTGCCAGGTCTCACTACCTGCTATACTGAATCTGCTTTGGCAGAGTACTTAAGGATATTCAGGAGGAAACCTCCTAATCTGATGCAATGAATCAATGAAGAAATTGAAGAAATTGAAGTTGGCACGGAGGCAGCCCCGATATCAAGTACTCAGCACTGCAAAAGAGTGAAAAATAAGCGCGGCTACCCCGACACCCTACTGTGAGTCACTGCGTCCAGCACCCACGCACCAGCTGTTTAGCGAGCCGTACCTCTGGTGAGGCCGACACTCAGCGTTCCTGTCTAGTGACGTCTCACACAGGTAACGCTAAACAACTGGCAGAGGGCCGTAGGCAGAGCGCACCAAGGCGGCCTTGCACGTTCCAAGAA